GCGAGGGATTTTTCTTGGGATCCTTATATAATCTCCTACCTTGAATAAGTGGATGATATTCATTCAAAAATATTTATCAGCTTCTTACTGTATGACTTAGTGTGAGGAGTTTTGAACCTATGATAAGTAAAATAGAAACCACCTAGCCCTCACTGATCTTACAGTTAGTGGAAAAGACAGATAGATGCCAGCATCCAGACGACAATTCAGAGCAAGAGAGTGGTCTGATGGAAAATAACACGATGGCATATATCTAGGGAGAGGTATTACAGTGTGAAAATGAAAACTTAGCTGAGAATTGAAGGATCTAGGTGAAGCACTCTTGCCTGAAGGAACAATGTCAGCTAAGTTCCTAGTGTAGAATAGAGCTCAACTTGTTTCAGGAACTGAAAAAAAGTCCTGTGTTCCCGGAGTGTATAGAAAAGAGAAGGACAAGAGATTATTATCACATCAAGATAAACAGCAGGTCTATTTGGAGAATCTTATAGGGTAAGAAAGAATAGTGGCATCTATTTAAAGTGAAATGGAAATCCCCAGGGGCTTCTAAGTAGGGACATACAATCATAAACTGACTTTAAAGCTGCTTCAAGCATCCGTCTTAATTTACAAATATTTGGTCAGCTTTCACTTGGTAGCAATGATTGTTCTACATTCTTGGGGCTTATTAATGAACAAAACACTATTTTCTTGACAGTGCCACCAGATTAGCTAAAGCAAAAGGAGAAAATGATGGAATTAAAGAGTTATGCAGAAGACGTCAGAGGGCAGCTTGAGAAGATGAAGTAAAGCACTATAATGAAACGGGCAAAGATCTGGAGTTAGAAAACATAAAGGAGAAGCACATCATCACCATATCTAAAGCTGAAAGAACTGAAGAAACAATTCAATCCTCAAATTGAAATAGTGAAGAATTCTTTGAACAAAATACTGAGTGATGAAGAAAATATCAGAAGAGTATGGAATATAGACTCATTGTACCAAAAATAATTGACTGATACACAGTCATTTCAAGAGATAGATAATGATCAAGAGTTTATTATATTGAAGGTAGAAACCTAAGCAGAAAGACTCCAGAAATTGATGGAATATCAATTGAAATGCTTCAAAATACGGATGCAGCTCTGGAAGCACTCACTGGTCCATGCCAAGAAATTTGGAAGACAGCTACTTGGCCAACATAATGGAAGAGATCCATATGTGTGCCCATTCAAAAGAAAGGTGACTCAACAGATTACAGAAATTATTGAGCAATAGCATTAATAATACAGGCAAGTAACATTTTGCTGGAGATAATTAATTCAAAAATCATTATATCAGTGTATCGGCAAGATGCTGCCAGAGTTCCAGTCGAATTCAGAAAGGACATAGAGTGAGAGATATTAGTGCTGATATCAGATAGATCTTTGATGAAAGCAGGGAAGACCAAAAGGATGGTTTTTTGACTATATAAAGTCATCCAACTGTATGGACCAGGGAAAATTATTGCTAAGAATAAAAAATAGGAATTAGAGAACATTTTATTATACTCATGTGAAACCTGTACATAGACCAAGAGGCAGTCATTTAAACAACATGGGGATACTGCACAGTTCAAATCCGAAATGATGTGTCAGGGGTATATCCTTTCACCACACAAATGCAGCATCAGGATTGAAGAAAAACTCATTAACCAGCAATATGTGAAGGACAGTATCATGCTTCCTGGAAATGAAAAGGTTTTGAACCTCTTACTGATAATCAAAGACTGCAGGCCTCAGCTGGGATTACAACTCAAGGTAAATCGGAAAAACAATTCCTGCAACTGGATCCATAGACAGCATTATGATAAATGAAGACAAGACTGAAGTTGTCAAAACTTCATTTCACTTGGGTCTAAAATCAACACTCATGGAAGTAGTAGTAAAGAAATCATAGAATGTATCACAATCAGTAAATATGCTGCACAAGGTATTTTAACATGCTAAGAGCAAAAATATCACTTTGAGGAATAAAATGTGCCGAGCCTAAACCATAGTATTCTCAGTCACTGCAGGTGCATGTGAAAGCTGGGCAGTGACTAAGGAAGGCTTAAAATGGAAGCATTTGAGTTATGGTGTCGGTGGAGAATACTCGAAGTACCATAGACTTCCAGAAGAACAAGCAAACCCGTTTTGGTGAAATACAAGCAGCAGGCTCTTTAGGAGAGAGAATGCAAGACTTCGTCTCACGTACTTTGGGCATGTTATCCAGAGACCGGTCCTTGGGAAAGGGGTCGCGGTTGGGAGAAGGTTGGTGGAAAAGAGGAAGACTTTCAAGGAGCTGGGTTGACACAGTGGCTAAAATGTGTTCAAACAGAACAATTATGAGGTTCCCTCAGGACTGGGCAGTGTCAAGTTCTTTTGTTCATCAGTTCTGTAAGTTGGCGATGACTTGATGGTACCTTAAGAACAAAGAAACGAAATACAAAAGGGCTTCAAAAGCTTCATAGAAAAGTCTCATCTTTTAATTCTATTTTCCCACAAATATTGTTAAATCTCCTTATACATAACAACTTTAAAAGTTACATTTTATAGTTATTATAGGTATGGAAATAGCCTACAAATGATCTAAAAGTGTAAACTAAAAAATCAGACTCATTGCCATTGAGCTGATTCTGATAGCAACCCTATAAAATGTAAAAAAACCAAAAACTAAAAAATGTGAATAGTGTTAGGAAGGCAGACTACTGAATAAAGTCATTCCATTAAATGTTTCTGATTTTTGCATTATTTATTATAATTTATCCAATATAAATGTATTTAAATTTTAATTTCCCAAGCGTGTTTTATTTCAAAATTTATTTTCATAGTCACATCTTTAATGAGCCACCAAAGTTCTTTCAAAAAGTAACTTGACAAAAGTCCTACCAGTAGCTAATACACCAAATATGATGCTCAACCAATATAATGCTTCCTGTGTAGACCTTTTAATTCATATTGTTTACAAGCCACTAACCAAGGGCACTAACAAAAAACCAAAGTGGAAATAATTTAGGTGTGATCTTTCTTGGTTTTCCCACCCAAGGAGCTGAGCTATTCAGTGTTAGACAAACACTACGTACTACCTTCAGTGTTGATTTCTTTCTTAATAAGTTGGTAGTTTGGATCTACCAGGAGGTACCTCAAAAGAAAGTCCTGCTGATCAACTCTAGGAAGAAAGGTCACAGATTGGGAAACCCGAGGGACCCCAATTCTTCTCTGCAACATGGGGGTATCGTGACGCACACTGACTCAAACTGGTTTGGGCTTAATTGTGATTATGAATGAAAGTGCACAGACCTGCAGGTCTAATTCTATCACTTACTCAAAAATGAGGACTACCCACCATATATCAGACTATGCTAGACTGTGGGAAACAAATGAGAACTGATTTCTATTCTCATGTTTCTTGTTTTCTGCTGTTAGGATTTTACTAACTCTCTCCACCTAAATACTTATTTGTAAGAATATAATCTTGGTATAAAGAGTGCTTAATGATAGTAAATATAGCTATAAATTTTAAAATGTCCTTTAAGACTATACCAATATTTATTATTTTAGCTCCAACTATGCTCTCAGATACAGGGACTGTTCAGAAACTGTCCTTATCTGAAACCTAGAGCTAGTTTTAGGAATTTTCCCAGGCAGAAATCTTCATTGGGTTACTTTTTCTGGAAGCCTTTCCTGAGGATTACAGAAGGAATTCTTTCTTGCAACAAGATGGTCTACATGGAATCTCATTGAAACTTATTGCCTTGAACCAACCAATGGGGACTCACAGCACCCCTACAGGACAGGGTAGAACGGCCTCCTGCTTCTGAGACGAACTCTGCGGGCGCAAAAAGCTCCATCTTTCTCCCACAGAGCGACTGGTGCTTTCGAATTGCTGACCTTCTAGTTAGCAGCCCAATGGGTAAGCGCTAGGCCACCAGGGCTACTTGCTCTCTATGGAAGAGACTAAAAATAAATGAACAATTGGGAACAAGGACATGCTAGAGTTACACCAGGAACTTTCTGAGACAAGAATACCTCCTAGTAGAACAGCAGGTTCTGCCCAGAATGAAAAATTCTACAAGATTATACAATTCCTGATGTTCTAATTCCAGTATCACTTTTTGGATACTCATTTGTGTTTCGAAGACTGTAACTACCAGCTAGACTGGCTGTGGATAAGTAACTTGATCATTGAAAAACTGTATTGCCCATAAAAAATTTAAAAAAAGAATAAACCACACTTAAATCTGGTTATTAGGAATTTGTGTTTCAGAGCATCTGGGTAAATGGACATTCAGTTCCTACACACACTACACCAAAATTTTAAACAGTTCCCATAGGGCAGCCACCAAGAAAAATAATCAAGAAATTTAACTCTTTTAGAATAAGCCATTCAATTACCATGGGGCAATTATATCACTAAGGTTGATTTGTGAATTTGATTATTGATAGAAACGTCCCTAAAACTTGAGTCTTCTAATTCAGAGGGAAGTTTTGATTTTCTATCCTCAAAGGTTAACATCCAAAGGCAAATTATATTTTATATACTTTGGCTTTTTAGCTATCTTTGTGTCAGTGCTTCAAGTCACGATGACTTCACTTTCCACACTCAAAAGAACGGTTATTTACCAAAAATGGGGGGAAAATAGACATTTTGAATTAAAAAATGTTAATACATGTTGAGGTTGGTTAACTAGTGAGAACACTGGTAAGCAAAGTCAAGAGTCAGGGCTTCAACCCCAACTAGGGAAGTGGGCTTTTGACCCCAAGTACTTCTGAAGTGATGTGGCCAGAGAAAAAGCTTCCCACTGGTAAAACAACTGCCAATGTCAGTGACGCACAGCAATAGAAATAAGGTGTCCTTTGTCTGTTAAAAGACCTGGTTTCCTTGAATAGTATTTTTTTTTAGAGAGAGTGGCCTTCTAAAACGTAAATTCTCTGGTTCAAATGGCTTTCAACATTGAAAATTAATAACACCAATAATTATATTGTGGCAGAAAGAGGTACAGGTTTGGTGAGAACATTAAAGTTTTAATTCTGTACACCACATGTTCAAGAGCACAATTAAGAGAACAGTGGGTGGAGGGCCCTTGGGCCTGGGCTGAGATCTTGAACGTGTCCTTTTCCCAGTGCAGTGTCAAGAGCCACCAGTAGGTCTGTCCAGATGCTAAGACCTGGGACTTCAAAATCTCCATCCTCTGCCTTACAGGCCTTCAGGGTGGTGAGAACTTCATCGTTCAGGGGTGGAGGGGCTTGCTGGAGGCTTTGAAACCTGTCGCACAACTCCTCCCAGGACGGATCCTGGGGCTCTGCTCCAACCCAGTGGCCTCTCTGGAGGTCGTAGTGCAGATGGCGACCCCATTCTGTGAGCAGACCCAAATAACCGTGGGCGAGCGCTGGGTGGCGGCCTGCCACAGAAGCCAGAAGGCGGGCAGGGAGGGTGCGACAAAAGGCCACCATGATGTCTGACTGTCCTAGCAACCAGGCGCCCAGCTCCAGCCTCCCCTCCGCAGGTGTTTTGGGGCGGGCCGGATCCAACCCCTCGTCTTGGGGTGGGGCAGGCGAGGGCGGCGGCAGCAGCAGGGCGGCCGCGAGCACCTTCAGGAAGTGGCCGTGCGGCAGGCGCGCCCACAGGCGCCC